CCTTCGAGACTCTCCACTTGGACGTCTGGGGCCCTGCCCCGACGCAGGGGTCTGGGAGGGAGCGTTACTTTCTGGTGGTCGTCGACGACTTCTCCAGGTACACCACAGTGTTCCCTCTTGCGAAGAAGTCTGAGGTGACTGCTACGCTGATCAGGTGGCTTCTAGCCACTGAGGGCACTCGTGGTCGTCGAGTCAGTTGTCTCCACTCCGACCGTGGGGGCGAGTTTCGCTCCGGCATTCTCGGCGGATTCTGCGGCGAACAGGGCATCACCCAAACCTGGACGCTGCCAGAGTCCCCACAGCAGAATGGGGTTGCTGAGCGCCGCATAGGCTTGGTCATGGACATCGCCCGCACGTCCATGATCCATGCCCGTGCGCCCCATTTTCTGTGGCCCCACGCGGTTCGCTATGCCGCACACCAGCTGAACCTCCAGCCGCGTGTCTCGCGGCCCGAGGCTTCACCGACCAGTCTTTGGACTGGTTCCCCTGGTGTCGGGTCGGCCTTTCGAGTCTGGGGCTGCCTTGCGCTTGTTCGCGACACCTCCGCGGACAAGCTCTCGGCTCGCGCCGTCCCCTGTGTCTTCCTTGGTTTCCCGGTAGCCTCGGCCGACTGGTCTTTTTACCACCCGCCCCTCCACCAGTTCCTAGACTCCCGTGACGTCCGGTTCGACGAGTCAGTGTCCTACTACACCCGGTACCCCTGTCGAGGTCTCCCGGTTCCCCTTCCCCCCCTTTTCCTCGCACCCTCTCTTCCCCCTGCTCCCGCTCCTCCGGTACCCCCACCCCCCCCTGGTCCTGCCCCGTCAGGTGTGTCTCACGCTACCCCTCTACCCTCGGTCGCGCGTCAGGTAGCGGCTCCCTCCCCGCAGTCCTCCTCACAGTCCCCTTAGCAGCCTTCGGTACTTCCGCGACAGGCTACTGTGGACTCAGTTGGTTTTGGAGCTGGAGGTGCAGCCACGCGCCGTCCCCTGTGTCTTCCTTGGTTTCCCAGTGGACTCTGCCGACTGGTCCTTTTACCACCCTCCCCTCCACCAGTTCCTAGACTCCCGTGACGTCCGGTTTGACGAGTCCGTGTCCTACTACACCCGGTACCCCTGTCGAGGTCTCCCGGTACCCCCTCCCCCTCTTTTCCTCGCACCCTCTCCTCCTCCTGCTCCCGCTCCTCCGGTACCCCCGCCCCCCCCTGGTCCTGCCCCGTCTGGTGTGTCCCACGCTACCCCTCTACCCTCGGTCGCGCGTCAGGTAGCGTCTCCCTCCCCGCAGTCCTCCTCACAGTCCTCTCAGCAGCCTTCGGCACTTCCGCGACAGGTTACTGTGGACTCGGTTGGTGTTGGAGCTGGAGGTGCAGCCGCTGGCGGTGCTTGGTCTGGGGGTGCTCGGTCGCGGGGTGCTGGAGCTGGAGGTGCTGGCGCAGGTGGCACTAGCTCTGGGGGTGCTGGAGCTGGAGGTGCTGGCGCAGGTGGCGCTAGCTCTGGGGGTGCTGGAGCTGGAGGTGCTGGCACTGGAGGTGCTAGTTCGGGGGGTGCTGGAGTTGGAGGTGTTGGCACTGGCGGTGCTAGTTCTGGGGGTGCTGGAGTTGGAGGTCCTGGCACTGGAGGTGTTGGTTCTGGGGGTGCTGAGTCAGAGGAGACTGACGCTGGAGACACTGGTTCTGCGGAGTCCACTCCGCCTCCCCACCGCCACGACACGCGTCTCCAGGCTGCCCGTCGGCGTGAGCGTGAGGAGCAGGAGCGGTTGGAGAGGGAGTGGCAGGAGCTGCGGGTGCTGGACCTTCTGGAGCAGCAGCGGCAGCAGTAGCAGCAGCAGCAGCCGCAGCCGCCACCGCAGCTTCCTCTGGAGCGGCGGTTGTTCCCACCTGTGAGTGGCCTGCGGGCCCTTGGCCTTACCTCCTCTCCTCCTGTCCGCTCCCAGTCTCCTCCTGTGTTTGTCCCTCCGTTGCCTCCTCCTGACGACCGTCCGGCGGTCTGGTCTTCTCCTCCTCTTCAGTCTCCTCCTCCTTCTGTCCGTCACGACTTGATCACTCGTTGGCCTCCACGTGCCCGTCACTCGTCCCCTGTTACTGACCTTCACACAACCCTCCTTTGTTCGTCTCGTCGTCGTTCTCCTGTGTCCGTTCTCCCGTCTCCTCCTCCGTCCTCTCTCCCAGCCTTCCCCACTCCTATCTCTGACTACTACCGCGCTGTTCGTCCTGTTGCCGCACGTGTCCTCGCCACTCTTGTCACCGACTCTCGTTTCCCTCCGTCGTCTGTCTCGGCTCTTACTGCCGCTGTCGCTGAGTTTGCTGTCGCCAGCCGCCTTGACTACGCCACCCGTGTGGTGCCAGCTCCTCCCTACCGTCCTCTGTCCGTCGGGGGTGGTTTTGCCCTTGGCTGTGACGTCCTAGAGGACAGAGAGTCTGAGCTGGAGTACTGGGCAGCCGCTTCTCCCTCTGTGTTTGCCATGCTGCTCTCCCCTGAGGGAAACCCCGACGCCATTGACATACCGACTCCTCGCACTTACCGCGAGGCAGTGTCAGGGGCGTGGGCCTCTCAGTGGAAAGCGGCTATGGACTCAGAGTTGGCGTCTTGGAGATCCACAGGCACCTACGTCGACGCAGTTCCCCCTCCCAGGGCGAACGTAGTCGATGGCATGTGGCTCTTCAAGGTGAAGCGGCCGCCTGGAGCACCGCCGGTGTTCAAGGCGCGCTACGTGGCTAGGGGCTTCAGTCAGCGTGAGGGAGTTGACTTCTTCCAGACCTTCGCCCCGACCCCGAAGATGACTACTCTTCGGGTGTTACTCCACATAGCAGCGCAGCGAGACTACGAGCTGCACTCCCTTGACTTCTCCACTGCGTTCCTCCAGGGCCGACTGCACGAGGAGATCTGGCTGCGCCGTCCTCCTGGCTTCACTGACACCTTCCCACCCGGGACCCAGTGGAGCCTGAGGCGACCAGTCTACGGTCTCCGCCAGTCGCCCCGTGAGTGGCACGACACTCTTCGCTCCACGCTTCGTGACCTTGGGTTCAGCCCGTCCTCCGCCGACCCGTCGCTGTTTGTTCGAGCGGGTTCTACTCCTTTCTTTATCCTTGTCTACGTCGACGACTTGGTGTTTGCTACAGCAGACAGGGCAGCCCTGGCTCAGGTGAAGTCCGAACTGCAGAAGAGACACAAGTGCACTGACCTGGGTAAGCTGCAGCGTTACCTTGGCTTGCAGATCACCCGGGACAGAGCCGCTCGCACCATCACACTGACTCAGTCACACATGGTGCAGCAGGTCCTTCGGCGGTTCGACTTCCAGTTCTCCACCACTCAGCCCACTCCTCTTGCTGTTGACCACAGACTCACGGGCCCCTTTCCTGACGAGCCCTTTGAGTCCAGTGGACCCTACGCAGAGCTGGTGGGCTGCCTCATGTACCTGATGACTTGTACTCGACCGGACCTCGCCTTTCCCCTCAGCATCCTTTCTCGCTTTGTTGCGACTGGGAGACACCGTCCTGTCCACTGGACAGCTGCTGTGAGGGTGGCGAAGTACCTGGCGACTACATCAGGCATGGGGCTTGTGCTTGGAGGGACTCAGCCAGTGGCGTTGACTGGTCACTGTGACTCTTCCTACGCTGACGACGTGGAGACTCAGCGCTCGACTCAGGGTTACTGCTTCACTCTGGGAGCTGGTGCTGTGTCGTGGAGGTCTACACGGTCGTCGTCTGTGGCTACTTCCAGTGCAGAGGCAGAGATCTACGCGGGTGCCATGGCGGCACAGGAGCTTCGCTGGTTGACCTTCTTGCTCGCCGACCTTGGTGAGCGGCCTCGCTCTGCACCGACCTTGTACGCTGACAACAAGGCCATGATCCTCCTGTGTCGAGAGCCTCGACTGGAGAGCAGAGTGAAGCATATTGACGTGAGGTACTTCCTCCTGCGAGAGCTGCAGCGACGCGGTCAGGCACGCCTGGACTTTGTGGCCTCAGAGGCCAACACTGCAGACGTCTTCACCAAGGCCTTGGCGCTTGGTGACCACCACAGGTTCTGTGTGCAGTTGGGGCTTGTTGAGGTAGGCCCTCGGTTGCTGTAGTCCTGTTGCTTGCTCTGCTTGTTGTGCTTTGTATTTATATCCTAGTGAACTCTTGAACTGGCCTTGTGGCCGCTTGCTTGCGCTCGGAATTTGTGTGGTGTCCTTGAGATCCACCCTGGGCTTGCCTTGGTTCTTGCTTTGACTGGTCTTGTGACCGTTTGTTCACCTTGCTTGCTTTGATGCCCCTCACTTAGCCTATGGGGGTGTGTCAAATGTTGAACATTGATATGATAGGCTGTAGTGAGTTGCACTCTAGGGGGTACAGCTTCTAGGGTTGCTTATTTGTACCCCATTCGTTTCTATTCCAATCATTCCGTTGCTAACCACTCTTGAGAAAACTGTACTTCCCAGCCCAACCAGGAAAACAGCAGACACGGATGCTCATACGGTATCACCCCAACTGACACATGCTCGTACATACAGCATCACCCCGACTGGCACATGCTCATACATACAGCACCTCCCATCAACTGACACATGCTCATACAGCATCCACCTACAGACATAGAAATGGTACACCCAAATTGAGGAGACAATGCCAGAGAACTGACTGGGGAGGTCGCACAACAGGATGTGAGATACAACAGCCTGGACATGGACATGTACCATGAAATTGATCGGACATGCCAGGTGACTGTCCAAACAGGCTTTTCATGCAAAATCTAGGCCAGACAAGTGTCTGGGTCAATAGTGCCTGAAGAAAGAAACATCCAGGTAGACACTCCCAAGTCCTTCAGACTAATACAGTTTCCCATCTCATCTCACACTTTGACCATCGAGCAGCAGGTACAGCCAGCCAACCCTGAGTGCAGGTCCCTCATAACAGCAAGATGGGGACAACAAGGTAACAAGCTCCATCCCCTGCAGGTGGGGATAGCAGCATGGCGAGATGGCAGCATGGTGAGATGGCAGCATGGCGAGATGGCAGCACGGGAAGATGGGGGCATGGCGCGATGGTAGCTAGGCGAGATGGCAGAATGGAGAGATGGCAGCAAGGTGAGATGGCAGCATGGAGAGATGGCAGCAAGGTGAGATGGCAGCATGGCGAGATGGCAGCACGGGGAGATGGCAGCACGGGGAGATGGAGGCATGGCGCGATGGTAGCAAGGCGAGATGGCAAAATGGAGAGATGGCAGCAAGGTGAGATGGCAGCATGGCGAGATGGCAGCATGGGGAGATGGGAGCATGGCGCCATGGTAGCATGGCGAGATGGCAGCATGGGGAGATGGCAGCATGGGGAGATGGCAGCATGGGGAGATGGCAGCACGGGGAGATGGCAGCATGGCGAGGTGGGAACACTCACGTGCCTTTTGTGGTGCAGGATGCCTCTTCACATCCCTCTCGACCCCTACACATCCCTCTCTGCCCGTTCACATCCCTCTCTGCCCCTTCACATCCCTCTCTACCCCTTCACATCCCTCTCTGCCCTGACACATCCTTCTCTGCCCCTTCACATCCTTCTCTGCTCCTTCTCTGTCCCTTCACATCCCTCTCTGTCCCTTCACATCCCTCTCTTCCCCTTCACATCCCTCCCTGTCCCCTTCACATCCCTCTCTGCAATTTAGCATCCCTCTCTGCCCCTGCACATCCCTCTCTGCCCTTTCACATCCTTCTCTGCCCCTTCACATCCCTCTCTGCCCTTTCACATCCTTCTCTGCCCCTTCACATCCCTCTCTGCCCTTTCACATCCCTCTCTGCCCCTTCACATCCCTCTCTGCCCATTCACATCTCTCTTTGTCCTTTCACATCCCTCTCTGCCCCTTCACATCCCTCTCTGCCCCTTCACATCCCTCTCTGCCCCTTCACATCTGCCCCTGCACGAACTCACCGCCCCAAGGGGCTTCAGCTCCGTTCCCTCTCACTTACCCATGCAAGAAATTCAGTCCCTTTCACTTCCACTCACCCGCCCTAAGGGTTTCAGCCCCCATCTCTTCAAAACACCTATTCAAGGGCCTCAAGACTTGTACCCTCTCAATCACCCACCCAAGGGGTTCCAACCCCCTTCTCTTAGATTCAATAACTCTGGGGGTTCCGACCCCCTTCTCTCTAACTCACCCACCCGAGGGGTTTCAGCTCACTCAGCTTAGACCTCAGCGTAGACCTCAGCCTAGACCTCAGTGTAGACCTCAGCCTAGACCTCAGTGTAGACCTCAGCCTAGACCTCAGTGTAGACCTCAGCCTAGACCTCAGTGTAGACCTCAGTGTAGACCTCAGCCTAGACCTCAGTGTAGACCTCAGCGTAGACCTCAGCCTAGACCTCAGTGTAGACCTCAGCGTCTAGGCTGAGGACTTGCTGTAACTCTGCTGTGATTGGCTCATGGTTACTGTAGTCACTCTGCTTTGAGAACCAGGATTTCAGACTAGGGGTGAATGATGAATCAGAGCATGAGGGATCTCATGACGTGGCAACGTCCACCCCTCACCCCTGATAAGGGATAAGGTAGACGGTAAGGCTATATGGGCAGCAATGGGCACACGCATATGAGCCGAAAGGTCGGGGTCAACAGTGGTGGCGCAGACGAATATGAAGAGCACCAGCACGAACACCACTGATATGCCCGCCTGAGTGTGGGGGAGAGGTGGTGAGGGGGGCAGGGAGGATGGAGAAGGGAGAAGGACGAATGGAGAAGGGACGAGCGAGGGGTCTGCAATGGCGCAGACGAATATGAAGAGCTCGAGCACCAACACCACTGATATGCCATCCACCCCTCACCCCCCTTTCTTCCTCCCACTCCCCCCGTTCCCTCCCCACGCACCTGCCACTGGTCGGTAATAATGGACACGTAGAGCCCTCCAATAGCGGTGTAGGTGAGCGAGACGAGGCCTATAACGAGGATGATGGGCAGGCTCTTGGAGCCGATGATGTCCGTGAAGAGACTCCCTACCGCCGTGTACTCCGCTGTGATGGCGATGCCCATGTTGAACAGCATCAGGCAGGAGACGTACAAAGAGATGACGCTCGGGGGAGGGGGGGTCGAGAGGGGGGTAAGGGGGGATGAGGGATGAGGCTCCTCTGAAGGCCGTGTACTCGGCTGTGATGGCGATGCCCATGTTGAACAGCATCAGGCAGGAGACATAGAGGGAGATGACGCTGCGGGGCGAGAGACGGGAAGGAGGACAGAGGGGGGGAGTGCGTGAATAGGCTTCCTACGGCCGTGTACTCCGCTGTGATGGCCACGCCCATGTTGACGAGCATCAGCGCGGAGACGTACAGGGAGATGACGCTGGGGAGGGGGGAGCAATGGAGGGGGGAGCAATGGACGGGGAAGGAGGGGGGATGGAAAGGAACGATGACAGGAGGTAATGGGAACGATTAATTGGAAGGGAACGTGAGACGAAGACCTAAACCCTCCCAGACCCAACCCCCCGCATAACCAAACCCAATTCCCCCCGGCACGCACAAACTTTTCCAGACTCACAGGCCGAAGCGGCGGCGCGCAGAGTCCGCCATTGAGACACGACGGAGAGCACGTGATTTGACAGCACGAAACCTTAAACCCCGCACCATCGAACACCGCTACCCCACAACCCGTACTCCCGAACCCGAAATCTTACAGGCCGAAGCGGCGGCGCGCATAGTCCGCCATGGACACGACGGAGGGCACGAAGGGTCACCGAATTATATTTTCTAAACCCCGCGCAACGAACCCCAATGCCCCGCAACCCCCGGCACACCCGAGCCCCACTATCCCACAACCCCGTATTCCCGAGCCGCGCATACTCACAGGCCGAAGCGGCGGCGCACGTAGTCCGCCATGGAGACGACGGAGGGCACGAGGCGGTGGATGACCGCGCCGAAGTACGCGACTACGATGATAGGCAGGCCTGCTGATATCGAGTACATGATCATCCCCAGCGTGCCCGCGTACGCGCAGTACGACGGCGGCCCGAACAGCGCCCACGACCCCATCGCGCCCGCGTAGAACGACCTGCGCGGAGGGGGAAGGGGGACGGGGGGAGGGGGGAGGGGGAAGGGGAGGGGGCGAGGCGGAAGCGGAAGGGGGAAGGAGTGGTCTCTTAAGGCCAACGGAAAAGCGCTCATCGCGCCAATGGGAAACGAAAATGGGCAGGGCGAATATGGGCGAGGGGGCATTCGAATATCGGGTTTGGGGTTTACGGGAAGGTGACAGGTGGCATCGCAAATGGCACCTTCCCGCGATGTCCGGAAGGCACGCGCAACGAGCAGCACAACCAGCAGCGCCACCAGCACTGGTCGTGCGAACCGTGTCGGTTTGAGGAGCGCGCCGCTGCGACACGTGGCCGGCAAAGCGCTCACCTGCCGCATGCACAGTGCGTCGTTGCGACGCGTGGGCGCCAAACTGTTTACTTGTCGCATGCACAGCGCGTCGTTGCGACGCGTGGGCGCCAAACTGTTTACTTGTCGCATGCACAGTGCGTCACTGCGACGACCCGCTGCAGCTTTCCGCAAATGCCGCGCAATTGCCACGCGCGCCATTGCCTTGCCACGCGACGGTGCGCATGGTAACGAGATTACCACGCGATGGTCGCACGCGCCATTGTCATGCCACGTGACGGTGCGCATGGGCATGGACTTACCACGCGATGGTGAGCATGGACATGGACTTGCGCGCCGTGAGGAAGAAGTCGGGCGTGTCGGGGCCGCCCTGCTTCATCTCGCGGTACACCGCGAACGCGCACGCGCCCGCGCCGAACAGCACCACGGCCAGCACGCCGAACGTGTACGCGAGCACTTCCAGCGACGCCATGGCTCGCTAATTGCGATGCTCAAAATTTAATCTATTGAGTTAGTCACGCCAATGCGTCAGTGCAGCCGTTCACCCGCCGCTTCTTGGCGCTATATCGGTGTGTGTAATCGGTGGTGTTTTTTAATTTTCGGCGGTTCTTCAGGCGACTCCAAGAGAGAGGCGGAAACACGACGAATGAGAAACTTGTTACCTAGGAACCCAGGTTCTGCTGGAGAACCGTGGTTGATAAATAAAGTGGAGCGACCCAAGTCCGCCACGTGCAAAAAGCAGCTGAAAAATGGCGGCCCTGATCTACGAAAAGCGCAATCAACCAGAAATCGAGGGTGTATGTGTTCCTTGGCGCAATCAAGCACTGCAATGCACGCAAATGCAACATGGCTGAGAGGAGGGGGGCGGGGGATGGTCTAGACAAGGGCGGAAGACCTCAAGCGCGCGGGCCTTTCATGTCCACCAGACCAGACGGAAAAGGGGAACGAGAAGGATATTTGTCGAGGGGACAGGCGGAAATGACACGGGTGCGCACTGCGCACACCCGTGTAGCCTCTGGGGAACCGAAGAGGTGTTACTGTACATTGTGCACGTCCTGATGCCCGCGGTTCGATGTCCCAACAGAATCATACAGCACAGTGCCATTGAAGGGTGTACATTATTGACGCGTGCAAGGGACAGTCTTGATCCGACGGCCTACATTATCGAAAACCTGTAATCGACGGATCATACCATTGCTGCGGCAAGCTGTCACATGGTCACCAAATTACCTGATTTTCATTGGCTCGGCAGGGACAATTAGTCCCCTGAAAAAAAGGGGGACAGGATATTCATGTGAAGCCGACGTGGCGCCGCCAAACCGGCAGAGTAGCTGATAAAGGAACAAACCCACCTTAGCACAAGCACCGGTAAGCGCTACAAGTGTTACATAAATATCATATAATAGATGCACTGAACAAGATGAACCAGACCATACAGCATGACACTACACAAAACATGGCAACCCAAGTACTACCAAGTCGTAAAACATATACGACTTGTACTCAAATGTCTCAATAGATATCGCCCTTCGTTCTACAGCTCCCTACTGGTATTTCCTTCCCCCCTCGCCGTTTCTCTCCCCCTCCCTCCTCATGAACACCCCCCTCACTCGCCGCGCCACATTGAATGCCGACAGCGCCAGCAGAAGCCCCACTCCCAGCCCTCCGCGCTCCCCCACTGCGCCTGTAAGGGGTGGGCGGAACGAGGGGGACGGCCCCATCCAATGCGCTGCGCTGATGGACGCATGGGCTGTAGCGCCTCGGGTGAATGCCCCCCCCATGCTACCTGTAACACCAGTAATTCTAGTAGATCCAGCTGCAGCGTGACCTGACGCGACCTCCTCAACCCCGTCCGCCGACGCAATAATACCAATCGGAGCAGCAACCTTCATCGCCGAAGCTGCCGCCGAAGCAGCCGCCACGCCAGCAGTCACCGCCGGACCAGCACCGTGCCCACCCTCCCCTCCACCCCCACGGGCCGGCAGGAAGAACAACGGAGAGAGGCCCATCAAGCCGCCCACAGTGACTCCCAGGACAGCGCCGACGGTGGCGAAGAGCTGGGCCTTGGGGTGCTCGAGCTGGTGCGAGGAGAAGGTGGCTCCGGGGAGGAGCTTGGAGGAGGAGGACTCTATGGCCCCCCGGCACCACGTGCCTATCACGTCCGCCACTGCATTGCCCAAACCCGCAGCCTGATAAGGGAAGGGGGACGTCAGGAGACAGGGTGAATGGGGGGAATGAGAGGAGGACGACGACTCTATGGCTCCCCGGCACCACGTGCCTATCACATCCGCCACTGCGTTGCCCAGCCCTGCAGCCTGATGGGGAAGGGATTGTGGAAGGGGAGGCAGGGTGAATAGGGTGAGTGCGAGTTGTTTGGACTCAACTAACGAAGGGTCGTAGGGCATTATAGGGCGGTCTGCCTGAGCTTCAGCTGACTCAATGGGAGCAGCGATTGTCTGCTCTTCTCGCATCCCCTTTCCACGGCTTACCATGGGAGTGGAGAACCCGAAGGCAGCTCCGAGCGTACTCGCTATAAAGTCGCCTGATATGATCATCACCGTGTTCTCTGCAAAAGTAGAAGAATCCATAAATAGAGAACGTGACCGGGGGATTGGGATGGAGAGTGGAGGAGGAAGGGGGACGTGGGGAAGAAGGGATGAGAGGGGAGTGGGTGAGCATGCCAGAGTAAGTGAGAGAGAAACGCTGCAGGAAAAGCTCGGGGCTAACTAGCGTACAGTTCTTTTGAATGTGACGACTGCTCTTGACTGTCCAGTTGTTGAAAATTACCTTTGACTCATAAACATTGGACAACCAGCAGTCCTAGACGACACCTAATTTGTTCAGACTGAAACCACCCCATCCATGATTTAGCCCGCTTCCCGTTTCTCCCACCCACTCCCACTTTCTCCCCCCCTCCCCCCCCATCCCTCTATCCCACCCGTCCCCCAAGCGCTTACTTGTGAGTCCGAAGCCCAAGTTGCCTGCGCTCAGCGCCGCGCCGAGTCCAGCATGCCGGGGGAGGTGGGGGAGCGGGGGGGGGGGCGAGGGGGGAAGGGGAGAGGGGGTGGGGGAGGGGAAGAGATTAATGGAGGGAGAAACGGAAGGGAAACTAATCGAAGTAAGGGGAAAGGCAGGAAGGGAGGGGAGGGGGCAATATAATGAGCACGAGGACCCCACGCGTAACGTCAAACACGCACCGAGCGCCTCATCTTTGCGAGTAGCGCGAGCTGCGGGAAGTCGAGCGGGCGGTGCGGCGCGTCGATCTTGGCCTGCTGCTCTCACCACCGCTCACCACCGCTCACTATCACACACGCACCGAGAGCTTCCTTCTTGGCGAGCAGCGCGAGGTGCGGGAAGTCGAGCGGGCGGTGCAGCGCGTCAATCTTGGCCTGCTGCTCTCCCACGTACTGCTCGAACTCGCCCTCGCTTATCACCCCGTCGTGATGCGCGTCCGCGTGCTCAAACTCGTCCTCCGCCTCCGAACAGTCCGCTGCGCGCACACAGTCACGCACACGCACACGCACACAACCGAGTAAGCGTTTGAGTCCAAGGAGCACGTAGTAGATTCTACCGCTGGCACCGACTGCCGGTGCTGACTACCCCGTCGTGATGCGCATCCGCATGCTCCAACTTGCTCTTCTGCTCGACTTTCCAACACTCGCGCATTCTTGGGACATTTTTCTTGTAGAGTCGACTCAAAGACAGTCCGCGTACCTCCCGGGAAGAGCGCCGTGAGCAGCACTTCGCGCCCCTGCGGGCTGAGCTGTCGCACGAGCTCGATCGCCGCCACCTCGCCGATCGTCGTTCCCTCCTTCACGCTCGATGCCGCCGCGCGCTCCGCGTCCTCGTTACTGAGCGCTTCTTTGGTTTGCTGCTCGTGGTGGTGGTGTTCGCGAAAGTCGTAGCCTCGCGGCTTCGATAAGAGCCGCGCGACGTCCGCCACGACCGCCCGCTGGTCCGGCTGCTCCAACAACGGCGCTCCCGCCGACGTCCCCGCGAATGCCGCCGACACGGACGGAGAGGAGGCGCCGAAGGCATACACTGTCCATTTGCCATCTTGGTCGTTTGCTTCGGCGCGGTATGGCTGTAGAGTTTGTGGGCCGCGTCGTAAGAAGCGGGAAGGAGAAAGGTTTTTCCGCAAAATCGCAGCGGAGGGGGAAGTACGATCTAGGGGCGCCAACCAGGTGTTTCTAAGAGAAGATGTCCGTGCAGGCGCTGGTCTATTTGCTATGCCGCATTCCGCTGCGGCAAAAGGTCCTAATGTCGCGATCGTGGCTGTCATGCTGGCTGTACTTTCGAAGGATGCGCCAAGGAGCGATTGCTTATGGTGCGGCAATCGCTTGTAAATCGTCTCTAGCGGCAATAAGTCGCATCCAACGCAGAGTGCCTTTTCCAAACAGGTAGCGGAAGAAGAAAGTCTGAATATTTCATACAATCATGTGCCGGATTCTCGAACAAAACAGGAAATCAACGCAAAGCATGGACTCCCCCTTTCTGTCCCTCGTCGAATGCAAGCTTTTAGCCCTACACAGGCGCTGGGCTGGGGAACTGGGAACAATCGATGGGATCGAGCACAAGTCTCGATTGGGAGGGCTGTGGCTAGCATCGTCTGCTCTCTGCGGTAAGAGCGCAGATTCGGAGTCGATGCGCGCGCATTTGGAAGAAGCTACACGTGCGGACAGGCGAAGCGTGCGAATTGGTAACAGGGGGTGCGTACGAGCTGCTGAGGTGTACCGCGGAAGAAGGGAAGCTACGCTCCTGCGACGTTGCTGATTAGCTGAGAAAACATTGACTAATTCGCTAAGACTTTCGCATCTAGGATTCACCTGGGATTGGAGGATCTTTTCTGCAATTGTGGACTAGAATCTGGGATCTTTTTGGGCCAACAAGGCGCCGTGACGTGTTCAGGGCTTCTGGAGCGTCTAAACGACAAACATGACACGACATAGCCACGCTGGCTCGTGTCCTGATCCACGCTGGATCTCCCACATGTCAAGTCAGAGAATCATCACTTGATTGGAACATTTCAAAAGCTTTCTTCCGAAGCTCAGTGATACTCCAAACCTAGTCTCAACCAATTATCACTCTCCCGTGCCAATCAAAGCTTGCCCCCACATCGCGCACCGATACCGCGGGGCACCAAACATCGCTCCTTCACGCGCCCATCCACCTTCCGCCAAGCACCCGAAAGCCCCGCCAAGCCGCACCAAGCCTGGACATTCCCCAACCCCACCGCACACCTCCAGCGCACTCACTCACCCGAGGAAAGCTCTGAACAACATTTGCAGCAAGCAAGAAGTCCTCCTTACCTTCATCGCACCCACCTTGACTACTACTCAGACTAAACACGCCGAAGAATACGGAGCAGGAGATTTGCCAGGTTAGACCTGAGTTGTTGGATAAAGTTTTTTTTTTGCGTACGCTTCACTCGCTTTTTAACCGCCGACATTAACAACAGTTCGGCGTATCATCCTCACCAAGCATGGCTACCACGCTAAGCCACAGCCTAGCCATACAAGCAATCAAAATAGTCCCCAATCGACGTTTTGCCACCTTGTCGCCTAGATTCAAAAGTCCGGCCGGCCGCTTCCAACGTCGCCTTCGCCGCTCGCCCACCCTCCGCGCGTCGCAAGAGAACAGCAGCAGCGCGCCGAGCGGCGGCGAAGGCGGCGCGACATCCGTGGAGCTCCTGGAGCCGGAGCACGAGGTGCAGCTTGCTGAGGTGGCGCGCCTGCTCTCCGTCGCCACGTCACCCTCGGGGATTGACGGCTCCGGAGGCAGCGTCGCGGGCCTGCGGCTCGGCGAGGCCGCGGCGGGGGAGCTCGTCCGGCAGCTCGATACCGCTGGGCGCGCGGCGCTTCTCACGGCGCTATTTCCGGGATGTGCGTGTTTTTCTCTCTCCTCTGCAGTGCCTCGAGTGTCGGCTGTACAACGTTGCCGTTCCCCTCCCTCTCCATCCGCATTCCCGTTCCCGTTCCCATTCTCGTTCCCCGTTCCCCGGTACCCGTCCCTGTTCCCACTCCCGTTGCCCGCGCAGCGACGGAGAAGCACGACGCGGCGCAGGAGTTCCAGGCGGCGGACGCGAACCATGACGGCGTGTTGGACGCGCGCGAGTTCGCGACGTACGTGGAGGCGCAGAACGCCAAGATGGCGGCCGCCGACCGCCCGCTCAACCTGCACCAGCTCGGCCTGCTCGCCACGCGCTCCGCTATAGGTGCGACCCGCCCCGCGCTTCGCCATAGGTGCGACCCGCCCCGCGCTCCGCTACAGGCGTGCGTGGTAAAGGCTATAGAAGGCCGATGGTTGGACACGCCGAAGCTGGCTCGAATTCTGCGTTTGCAATTCAAGCAGAGTAACCACGTACCACAGAGAAGAACATGACTCAAGACGTTTGGCCCGGGCCCCCCCTGGGGTTTGAACGAATGTCGTTCCAGAGGTCGTATGTGAGGGCTTGCGTCCGTGCCTCTCTCCCATCCCCCATTCACCTCTACCTTCCTTCTCCTCCCTTTTCCCTCTCCCCCACTCCCTCCTCTCCTCTCCCTCCTCTTTTTCTCCCCCCTCCATTCCACCTTCCCCTTCCTTCCCCTCTCTTCCCATGCTGCAGGCAACATCGGGTTCGGCGTCACAGGTGAGAGAAATGGCGGGTAGAAGGGGTATCGGGAGGAGGAGAGAGGAGGAGAGGGGGAGGGATGAGGGGTAGTGAGGAGGATGGGGAGGGGAAGGAAGGGAAGGGGAAGGAGGTGTGGTTGGGCAACAATTGCTGGCCTGTGAGGAAAGCATCAAGGGGAGGAATCTGGCTGAAATGAGAGCAGTGGGGAGTGAGGGGAACGAGGGAAAAGCGGGATTAGGTAAGGATGGGTGGGAGAGGAGCAGGTGTAGGGGGGAGCGGAGGGGAGGGGCTGGGCAATAGAGTGCATGGTGGAGAGTAATCATGGGTCAACAGTACGATGGCACGGTGAGCGCATGGTGCACAGTGGAGAGTGGAATTGCAGTTTATCGTTCTGAACTGTTAACAATGCATATTACGATGCACCTTGAAATGTGCACCTAAAAGGGGTGGCAGTGATGGCGCTGTGGGTCAAGCATTCACAAATGGTAGCTGCTTGGAGTCTTATTGGGTAAAACCCTCACTGTTGGCATGTGGCTCACTGTGTTTCTGTCCCGCATGGCATGGCATGGCATGGCATGGCAGACAACACCATCATGCTCATCGCTGGAGACATCATCGAGGGCACTCTGGGCGCAGCCTTTGGCATCTCTACTCTCATGGTGCGTCGTCGCATCATTCCATGTGCCCCCTGAGGGTGGCGTTCACTCGTGCATGTGCCGTGAGCCCCTCGAGATTGGTCCCCATCAGTGCATGGCGCCCGTTGTTGGCTGCTTCTCACTCGTTTTCTGCACCACTACTCTCATGCATCCCTGCTGCCCACCCTCATACCACCATCCCTCCTCTCCATTCCTCACCACGCCTATCTGCGTATCCCCCGTTCTCCCTCTCTCCCCTTGTTACCCCGCCCTTCCCCCCCATCTCCCCCCCCTTTTTTGAAGGCGGCGGGGCTGGGCAATGTGGTGTGGGACATAGTGGGGACCGTGTTCCACGTGTACATCCTCATTAATTCTCTTGCATCCTCATGCATCCTCATGCATCCTCATGCATCCTCATGCATCCTCATGCATCCTCATGCTTCCCCCATTTCTTCCCCTGCAGGCGGCGGGGCTAGGCAATGCGGTGTCAGACATCGTTGGCACAGTGTTCCGCGAGTACATCGAGGGCGCTACAGGCCGATTCCTGCCGGACGTCAACTTCTCCTCCAAGCAGCTCGCGGATTCCCGCGCGCGGCTGGCTGAAACGGGCGGCGCAACTGTCGGGGTGACCATCGGATGCCTTATGGGGCTGGCGCCCCTGCTGGTGCTGCCTCAGAGAACGTGCCGCCCGGGGGGTGAGGGAGGGGACGCAGCATCTGCTGCTAGGGTGCCTGTGCCAGTGGCGATAGTGGCGCAGGTGGCATGTGAGGAAGGGTTTACTGCTGCAACCGCTGCTGTTGGTACTGCGGATGAGGCTGTCGAAGTGAAACTTGGGGATGTAGGTAAAACTGCTAGTGCTGGTGCCAGTGCTACAACTGGTGTTGCATTCACCCAAGGCGCTACAGCCCATGCGTCCATCAGCGCAGCGCATTGGATGGGGCCGTCCCCCTCGTTCCGCCCACCCCTGGCAGGCGCAGTGGGGGAGCGCGGAGGGCTGGGAGTGGCGCTGCTGCTGGCGCTGTCGGCATTCAATGTGGCACGGCGAGTGAGGGGGGTGTTCATGAGGAGGGAGGGGGAGAGAAGGGGTGGGAAGAGAGTAGGAGACGAAGAGCGTCAAACTTAGGTAAACCCATACTGTACGGGGGAGATTTGTGTGATGATTGTTAGGTACTTAAAATTGCAAGAACATCTATATATGCTTTATATAGTTTTCAGCGAGAGTAGTGTATGGAATGGAGCAGGATACAAAGCAGCCTCAATATCGCATTCCCGAAATCTGTTCTCTCCGCACCATTTGTAGATTTTGGCTGTTAGCGTGCGTATCAAATTTTTGTCAATTTGTGGACGGACTCGCTTGAGCCAGGTGGGACGTGTTCCCTCAAATCTTGGAAGGGCCACCAAGCGTGCGCGTGTGTGAGCCGTCGAACAGCTAGCAAAGGGGCACCACGGGTCGATGACATGGACGCAACAACGGTAGCAGCCGACTTTCTGCCACGTTGCTGGACTGACTTGGCAAGGTGTGAACCGAGTTGCTGCCACGGATGGACGAGGCTTCACAACGAAAACCAGATCCTTCCAGCCAACCAGCATCGCTCACTCTGATTCTCTCCCACCAATGTACAAAATGTTTTTGGTTTGTGACTCTGACAGATTGAAATTATTTATGGGAAACCCCACCCATCCCGATGATCCTTCTGATTTTATAAACAACGCGGGAAATCAAAACTCGTTGCAGCAATCATATGGCAGCAGCAAAGCTGTCTTGATTAACTCTACTTGTACCACACAGCATCTGAGAAGAGGGTTCCAGTTTCAGATTTTACTGCTGCATCAATTACCCATTTTCCTGAATTGCAGGCCAGAGAAGAAAAACAAACTGATTTCTCCTTTGCCCGATACTGAAACCACATGGCCCAACCATCGTGGAGTCTTTCATGGGAGCACCAACAAGAACACCAGTGAAGATGTCAATAATGGACCTTCCGAGCGATCTCCGCCACAAACTCGCGGGCCTTTCCACGTCAACAAGCTCCATCACCGTCAAATTGCATCTGCGCTTCGGGTATTTCTTCTTCGATTGCTTTCCGCGGTTCGGAGGTCGTTGGCATGCCAAATTTCACTGCACCACCAACCAACCTCCCCCGCCTTCCCTTCCCTTCCTCGCCAAGTGCGTGACCACTGTGATGAGCGCGCTGAGCATGAAGCATCGCTCATTACTTCGGTCCCACTCCTTGCCGATCAGTCCCGTCATCGTGCAAGTCATCGTGCTAGCAACAGAGAATACGGCAGTTGCAAAACCATCACTGTGCATACAGACCCGGCTTGCGCAGACCCACGCGCACCAGTGCAACTAGACCTCATTCTGTTTGCTTGCCCCCTACCCCACCTATTCAAGCGTCCTTGTTTTTACAGCTTCTGTTTGGCGCGCAGCGCGCATTGTTTTGGAGCGTATCACCTCGCTTGTGCTCACAACGCTGCCGCACCGGTGTTCGATTGGGAGGGGTGATACGGAGGAGCAATGAGTCGCATTTAATGTCGAGCATTGATCATCGTCATTCCAGAAACCCGTTCCCTTATGCCACTCTCACAGTCTCGCCCTCCGCGAAATCCGTGCGTGAAACATTCGACCCTGAGCTCCCCTACATGTAGCCTTGGTCCATTGCAAGGCTCGTCAGTAGTACGCACTGTATGTGCTGCATCTCTGTTCAATGGCCGTGCTTGTTCGCGTCGCCTGCAAATGCTGCCAGTCACGCATCGAACCATCTCCCTATTTGTAGCGCTGATCATTCATAGAATCTCTCAGTGGTGAAGCGTAGTTTCCCTTCTCGAGAGGAGCGCTCATTGCGTTGTAGAAGGTGGAGCCAGAACTCACTATATATTACAGAACTCGCCCTGTACTTCTCATCGCCAAGAGTTCTGAGTCTAGCGCCTGAGTTACTAGCTTTTCGGATTTCTCGAAAGTCGCAATCAATAGCTTCCCGTAGGACTGATTTCGAACAAGTGGGATTAGCGGCATGGATCTGGAGCATGTGGCGATGAAAATGGCCGTCGCCGGCCTCACCGCGAAGGATCCCTCGGCTGTTTCGCTTCCCTCCTTCGCCTCCATCGCATCGTCGTCGTCGCATCAGCATGCGATCATGAGTCATGCGTGCGCCTCGCACGCCCATCATAATAGCGCCCTCAGATCGCACGGCGTTACGACGACGGTGTGTCGCGGAGCCGTGTGCGACTGTCACGGCGTCGCACGCTCGTGCCGCGCGCAACGCCCCATGCGATCATGGGCGAAGCGCCGGTGCTCCGAAACCATGCTTTCGCCTCACCAATCCTGCGGCGTCGCCTGCTCACAATCTTCCAGACCATCCTGCTGCGGCGCCGCCTGCGGCGGTTGCCACGGCGTGTCCTACGGCGCGTCGCGCGGCTGCGCGAACCACGCAGCGGCGTCTGCGGCGCCACATGCGGGATCCGCCGAGGGTTGCCTGGGTCATCTATCCGGATGCGGCGGGTACGGAGCCTCGTTTCAACCTCAGCCTATCAAACGGCGGCGCTCGCTGTTGTCACTTGCCAGCTCATCGGCGTCCACGTCACCCCTGTATGACGAGCATCAACATCCACATCAGCAGCTACTCTCAGCGCAGCACGCGTTGATGAATCTCGAGAACTTCGACGAACCCCGCTCCGCGGCAGGCGGCGCGATCGGCGCTACGAAGCGGCCTAGCGACGCGAGGGGCGCGCCTTTGCGACATTCCGGCAGTTTCTCATCCCGCCGTCGCCCAGGGAGCCTGCGGCTCAAGGCGATGTGGCGATCTGCGAACACCAGCCCGGTAACTTCTGTAACAACCCAGTCGCAGTCGCCCACTGCGAGCGACGAGATTGGCAGCATCAGCGGAAGGGGACCGGTGGCTAGAGGAGTGTGGGGTGGTGGAGCTGGTTTCGAGGGAGTTGCAAGTGGTGGCAATGGTGTGACAAGGTTTGGAGGATTCCCATCAACGTGCTCGGCTCCCAACCTTCACGCGCTGGCCCAGACGCTGAAGTCATCTTCGTCACAACCACACCCGATACAAGCTCACCCAGTGCTACAGTGTCAGCCCTCATACAACAAATCGCTGCCAGCGCAGCAGCAGCAGGCGCTGATGCAGCAGCTGCTTCAGCTTCAACAGGCGGATCCGTCACCCTCACACTTTCAAACCCGGAAATCGGCTCACCCATCCGGTGCCGCTGGTGCAGCCGCCACAGCGGATACAGGCGGAGTAGCAGGAGCAGCAGGAGCATTTGGAGCAGCTAGTGCTGCAGTGTCAGCCATGGCTCAGCAGCTTTCCGCCTCTACGCTTCACAAAACCCAGCAACCCCATCAGCCTGCCTTACAGCCCGCCCACCATCGGCCGCTGTTCGACAGCCTCTGGGTGGACGACAGCGACTCTCTCGCCTCGCCTGCATGCGCCGTGGGGGCTCCGGCTTTCAGCAGTGCCGGCAAGCGGTCGTGGGGGCGATCTGTGAAGGACACGTGGCAGCAGCAGCAGCAGCAGCAGCAGCAGCAGCAGCAGTTACAGTTGCAGCAGCAGCAGCAGTTACAGGTGCAGCAGCAGCAGCAGTTGCATAAGGAGTTACAGGTGCAGCAGCAGCAGCAGTTGCATAAGGAGTTACAGGTGCAGCAGGAGAAGAAGGCAAGCAAGGCCGCCGCTGCTTCTCTCGTAGCCAACGACGGGCTGGCTCAGCTTGAAGCCTTCATGGAAGCGTCCATGGGAAGAGCAACGCATTCCAGCATTGCTCAGGAGGAGGAGGACCTGAGATCGCTCCAGGCTGTGGTGATGGGGCTGGAACATGCATGCCTGCAGGAATTGGATGCTGCGGGGGGAGTGGACAGGGAGGTTGGGGAGGAGAAGATGTCGGGAGGGGAGGAGGGGAGGATGGAGGAATCTGGAGTCAGTGGTGACTATGCCGAGTATTTTGCTGCTGCCGCCGCTGCTGCGGCTATTGCTGATGCACCGGCTGCCATGAATGAGCCTAGCGGAAGTGAGCATGCTGCTCCTGCTCAAGACAAGCGCGCTGCTTGTGAGCAGACATCAATTGATTTGGACCTCAGGCTCTAAAAGAGGGGTGCTGCTGATGTACTTACCGTATGTGCTTTCAGTATTTCTTCTTGTGGTCCTACCAGTTTTTGCCCAATGCGGGTTGCATCTTTTGCCTTGTGCTGGCTGTAGTTTCTGCTTGCTGTTAGCCTTACCGTAGCATTTTTCCCATGCTGCTGCTGCAGTTGGGTTTCAACCCATGTATGATACGTATGATGTTGTGAATTGGACTGAACTATGTGGGGAAACTTTCTGTACTTGAGAACAAACAAGCAACGCCAACAACCAAGGTGGTGCAATGCAAGTCCTTCCACAATGCAACCTTGCAGACTGGGTTAAAATCACGGCTCCTCTAATCATTACAAACTTGTGGGGGAGCCACATCGCTCTCCCAACCCCACCACTGTGACTTCTACCCCCACCTCCATCTGCCTTCCACCATACACTGAGGCAGAACCCCATGCACTGAACTGCACTGCACTCCACTGCACTTCATTTTGCGCCATGCCAATCATTACAACATGCGAACCCTAACCATTCAGGCTGTATACTGCCCGGAACGTCGTTGCTGCTGCAGTCCTCGTTGTCTCCACTAAGCGACTATCCTTCAAGAATCATTCTGCGGCCCGCGTTGTTTGCTGTATCGGACCGGCCAGATTTGTTGCTGCTCATTCATTGACAAGGCTATTCTGGCTCCCCTGACACACGCCCAGGGCCAAGGCGTAGCTTTTGAGTCAACTCCGAGAAGTCACCACGGTAGCGCTGCTGCTCACTCAATGTACAAGGCTATATCCCTGTTCCCATGACACACGCCCAGAGCAGGGCATAGCTGTTGAGTCGACTTAGAAAGGTCACCACGGTAGCGCTGGTGCTCACTCGTCCAGCAAACGGTTGCGCCTCTCCTGGAAACACAGCAACAACAAGGGATGGGGGAGCGGGGCAGGGAAAGAGGGGCGGAGACACGTGAGAGGGGTGCGACTGAAATGACACCTATTGTGCTACATGATGGCGTGTGTAGTGCCACCCTGTGCGCGAGTTAGCGGCGCTGCTTCCTCATCATCACACCACAACCCCACAGCCGGCCGCATGTATCGCACCACACCTCACAGCCCCGTACCTTGGCCGCTTGTCGCTTGCTCCGAGCAATGTTCCGCCTCACGGCTGCCTCTTCACGCGCGAACTTCATGTCCTCCTTGTTCCACGCCTTCTGCTTTCTCGCCGCCTCCTCTCCTCCCGCGCTTCCCTCTCCCGCTCTAGCGCCTCCTGCCGAATCCTGTTCACCTTTCCTCCTCTCGTGCTCGCCTTCCCTTCACTCTTCGCGTCGCTCTTCCCATCACCCTTCGTTTCATTCTTCCCGTCATCAATCCCGTCGACCTTCTCCTCGGGTTGCGTCTTGCTCTCCTTCTCCTGCTTCTTGCACTTCTCCGCTTGGCTCCGGCTCTCCCGCCCCCGGGGGCCCTGCTTGAATCCTGAATGACTCCTACTCTCTGGACCCATCATTCCCATAGCTTCACGAGGATCCGAGAAAAAAAGCTAGGCTTTCTTGCAGCCGCTACGGTTAATGCACTAAACTGACGGTTGAGGTTTTTCGCCTTGCACCAAAGTGGCTCGGAAACGGGTGCTTGCCGACAGACAGTTTAATCCGGCGACACGAAAGTCGAACACTGATCACTGATGGTACGCTCTGGATAACCTAACTGAACACGATGAGACACCATACGGATGCCTAAAGGCATATATAGCATATACCCATGGCAAGGCTCGTTGCGTGACTCCCACGAGTCGCACTGGCTTGCGACGACGGAAACTGGCCGCGACACGACAATCTCGAGGCATAATGTCACGGGAAGCTGTCAGGCGTGTTTGGGCGAAAGAAATGGTGGAGTGCGAGTACACGCAACGCACCATACCGGGGTCAAGGAGGGGTCTAGGAGGGCCTGGAAGGGCTCTAGACTCGTGAAGGGTTCAACTGCTTGTACCACGAATCTTCTCCGGATATGCGTGTGTGTAGATTAGCAAGAGTTGCGTGGGCGTCACGTTTCCCGTTGTTCTGCGGTTCAGGGGGATGAAATTTAGGGGTTTGGGAGTCCTACCGTATGCTGCAGGCTACCGACATATTTAGTGAAATCGAGCGACTCAATGGCGAGTATTCCTGATATGTCAATTTTACGAAGCGCATTACAAGCGACTCGCATCTCGCATTTCTGAAATGCAAAATGCGACATTGAACTGGTCGGAGAGGCAGACGCCACTTTCAATTCAACCCTCCCAGACAGTCGGCCAGCAGTTTCAAACAACATTTCCTTCACGGAATAGCACCGCGAAAAGAAATCAACTTCCTGGGACGATAGCCCGTAGAGGATAAAAGGGATACGCAACTTGCAACACTATCATAATCTCCAGGAACTAATTGTGCTGGGAAATCCTTAGCATCGCTTGTCAAGCAGGCGCTGAGACCCTGGAGAAAGATGGTTCGTGTGCTTATCTTAGCTTCTCAGACTCTCTCGGTTCTTCTCTACTCTTCTCTCGCTGTCGCGTTGGCAAAGGATATTCCATCCAATGCAAGCATAGGTATCGCCATCATCTCTCCCCAACCAAAACGCGTTGATGTTCGCCATTTTGTGCCACGCTTAGCAGCTTTGCTTCAGCGTTCCATGAACAAACGCAATACAAAAAACCTGAGGCCCTGCGCCATTTCCGAACCTCCCGACCCTTAAATACATCCAAATGAACGACTTTCAAATATGTCATCCTTTCCGTTATTTCGTTGTAACAATTCCAGCCACAGTGATGCACGAGTTGGCAAGGGAAATAGCCGTTCCTCCAGGACTCAACTGGGCCAAGGGGAGGTTGTGCTCCGACGATGGCATGGGCACGGGTTTCAGAGGGGTGATCTGCGATGACTATGGGTTCCCCATATCCATGTGAGTGAACACGTAAAAATCATCTGAGTAATCTTTATTCGCTGGGTATAAATTGGGGTTGTCTTATAGCATGGTTACTGCCATCTCCTTCGTTACAATCACATCCCAAACAGAGCACCAGTGATTCCAGATGGGGAGGTTGGAAGAGGCTTCTCTCAACTACCAACAGCCCTCGCTAAACTCACAACCGTTACACTTCTGTACGTCTCCAACATTCGACCATTTGTAACACATTCATAATGCTGGGTTTTGTTTTTCCACAATCACACACGTGCAAAGATTTGCTGGGGAGATTTGACATTTATTAAGCCGCCTAAAGTATTGTACGTTTTTCCCAAGACCACACTCGCACTCACAGCCGCAATCAAACACACACTTACTTTCCGCTTCCCTCCTACCGTCCAGCTCCTTCAACGCCTTCCAGCTCAACGCCAAGCTCTCCTCATTCGCCCTTGTCGTCAAATGCATGCCCCGCCTCAAATACCTGTCAGTCCCTCTCCTCCCACTCACCTGCTCCTGCCAACCTGTTCCGGGCAACACTTTATACCCATCTGCAACATTGTCATTCACTCTAGAGTGGCTTACCATGCCAATCCATTCATGCATGTACTCTAGAATCCTCCAATGTGTGCTATTCCGGATGTCTTCTCAGGGACTTGTCAGTCAACTCACTCTATGGCCTCATACCACCTTACCTCACCCAGTCTGACTCCATCGAGTTCCTGTAAGTCAATAATCCTTCTTTCTTCTTCCTGAGCTTATCTCATCCTCTTTCCTCTTCCCATGACTCCAGTCTCCCCCTTGCAGTCGTCGAAATCATTCAATCTCTTTTATTTCGGTCTCATCCCTTCGCTGCAGATCCCTCTATGCCAATCAACTGACAGGACCCATCCCCCCCTTCTCTCCCACTCTCAAGTCACTCCAAATCCACCATAACTTTCTCTCGGGCAGGCTGCCCGCTGCCCGCCACCTCATCGACTGTGATGTCAGCCACAACTGCCTGGTTGGTGGGAATTCTGCCACCTGTCCCATCTTTCCACTCAGAGGCCACGTGGCAAATGCACAGTGGCTAAGAGGACGTGTGCTTGTAAAGGGGGGAATGTGTGTGTGCCTGTATATGATAGTGATGATGGGGATGGGAGCAGCGAGGGGGTGGAGAACGCAGGAAATTCTCCAGACGCATGGGTGTGTTCCAAATGCCCCGTGGGGACGTTCCAATTCGCCAATACCTGTGGTAAGGCTCAATTCCAGCCTCATTTATGTTGCTGCACACCCCTGCTGTTATCCCGCACATTGGCTCACCCTATATTTGTATGAGCAGTGTCATGCAGGAAGCTGTACTTCACTCAGTGCTACAGGAGATGGACCAAGAGCAAGTTCTCCTGCTAACAATCTGCTGCAATGCGGAAACTGTGCAGCAGCAACTACCTCTGCTGCTGCCACTGTTGAACCACATGCTCTATGCTAAGAGCAGAAGTTATGAATCTTGTAATCAGTAGCTACAACCATGTTGGGCATCCACAATTACTGTGTTGCACAGATGTATGAGTACTCGGTGAAATCGAAGTCAGGTCATCAATGAAGAACGTCATCTAGAAAACCAAGAAAAAAACAGTCAGCCCCCCAAATGCCCAAATCACTGCCATGACGTGGCAGTCGCAAGTCACGCCCACGACACCAAAAGAGGGCAGAGACACAGATGGGAGGTGGGGTGAGGTGAGGGGAGCCACCTGCAAGCACAGATGATGACAGGAGTGACAGGCATACAAACGACAGTACAAGCGCAGAGCAGCACACACACCACCCAAACCCGGCAGTAGCTCGCAGCTACCAGCTCCTCCCACCACCCCACCACACCACCACACCCACCCCTCGCAACTCAACCAGCATGCATCTTTGCACCCAGCCACACATCACCACCCAGACACAACTTGCAGAAGCATAACGCATGGCCACCTCTCTCCTCTCTCTCCCCTCTCCCCCCACCTTTCGCCCCTCTCCCTTCCCCTCATCACCACTGCCTCTGCTCCCACCTCCTCTCTCCCCCACTCCTCCAACATCTCAGCTGCTGCTGTCGTTTGACTCCACACCCAACACCCACCACCACCCTCCCACCCCTCAAGTGATAACATCCTCTCGGTCTGCCTCCTCCCCTTCCCCAGCCGCTCCCTTCTTACTCCTCCAACACCCACCACCCTCCCACTGCTCAAGTGAACACATCCTCTCGGTCCACCTCCTCCCCGTCCCCAGCCGCAGCCTTCCCACTCCCAGCCGCCGCCTTCGCCCCAGCACCCTCAGCAGCCGCCGTCGCAGCTGCCGCCACATCCAAATGACTGAACTCCAGGAAATGCGTCGGCCGGTGCGCCTCATGGTAAAACTCCCTGGGAGGGGAGAGCGAAAGCCGGTACCTCATCCCAGGAGAGTGTTTCACCCCCATGAAGTTGTAGTTCCACACGCCTGAATCCGGTACCATGAAGAACCCGAGGAAGCGATCAGACAGCAGCATCTGGCAGCGCTCGTAGTGCGTGGGTAAATACCCCTGCGGCGCACTCCCCGACACGTCCTTGTTCTGCCTCCCCCACTCGTACCCCGCGGGCGTCAGCTTGTACGCAGCAAGCGAACACGACCCGGGAGTGAATGAGCACGTGACGACAATGCACCTGTCTCCATCCCACGACCGATTCCCCTCCAACATCCGAGCGTGCTGCGTCACATCCTGGGGGTTCAGCTGCGGCGCCTCACTAGGCTGAGTATGCACCCACCCCAGCGGCTCCAAGTCCTTTAGATACTCGTGCTCAGGCAGCTGCTGGGGGAGGTACACCTGCTGATGCGTCCCCCACTGCGGCACCAGCACCATGCACCGGATCTCCTTCACCTGGGGATTATCCGGCGGGCTGACCCCGTACATGTACGCGGCGACCTGCGTCCGCAGATCCGAGATGCACACAAACCGCTTGAGAAGGTTCTTAGGGAGAATGTAGGTGAACCCGGTCTCTCGGAGGTCGTCAGAGGCCACATAGATGTGACCCACACGCAGGTGGAGGTTCCCTGCTGAGATGGCTCGCACGCGCCAGTCAGTCTTGGAGGCAAAGGCTGCCTGCTCATAGGGCGAGGTGGTGGTGACTATGAGCTCGTCCCCGTGCTTGTTCGTGCTGCGCGTGGTAACCGCCGTCAGCTGCGCGCCGCCCGCGCCGCCCTCCTTGGCCTGCTTCTCAATCTCCGCGATCTGCTGCCGCTGGATGGACGGCGGCGCGATCTCCGCGCCGAGAATAATATCCCGGATCTCCGACTGAGTCAGCGCGGACACGTTCACCGAGCTCTTCTTGGCGTAATCCGCGAGAATCAAATCTTTCAGCGCCACCTCGCAGCGAATCCACTGTTCATCCGTGAGCGTCGGCCACACGTGGTGCGCCTGGGTGACCACGCTCTTGTCGGGCCGCAGCAGCATGCGGGCCTTCTCGTTGTTCACGTGGAGAGCTCTCAAGATGAGAATGAGGCGGGAGAAGGCGGTGTAAGAGGAGATGGAGCGCAGCCAATCGTCGTAGATGTTGAACAGCAGCATCTGAGGCTCGGTCGCCTTGAGAATCAAATCCCCAAACTTCTCGATCTTGAGGCACGCCTGGAAGGGCAGCTGCAGCTCGGACCCCTTGATGACAATGTTGGGGAAATCCAGCAGATGCACCTCCAGGGGATCAAGCATGCCCTTCCGAGTCACAATGATCTGCCGCGGCTGCTCCTCCACCGGAAGAGACCGAATCAGCGCCGCGACTTCCTCCGCGGTTTTCCACTTCGCCAGCTGCCCGAGACGCTTCTGCCCCGCCCAGACCGACGTGTGGATGATCTTGAGGAAGAGCTGCCCGGTGCGCGGGTTGAAGATGAAGATGGCGCCGTTGATGGGCTTGGTGGTCAGGTTGCCCTCGAACGTCTTGTGGATGGTCACGCGGTACACGTTCGTGTCGTCCACGAACCAGATGATCTGGTTGGAGAAGAGCTCGCCGTAGTTCTGCGAGGAGAGGTACGGCTCCGTGGGCTCGGAGGAGTAGAGCTGCAGGCCCTTGCGAATGCGCTCCCTCAGCACGTAGAGAGCTGGATTGGCCTTCATGATCTTCGCCATCGCCTGTGAGAACGGGGGAAGCAAGGGGCGGGGAGGGGCGAAGCAGGGCAGGGTGGGGTCAAGGCTCGGTGGGCTCGGAGGAGTAGAGCTGCAGCCCCTTGCGAATGCGCTCCCTTAGCACGTACAGCGCTGGATTCGCCTTCATTATCGTTGCCATCGCCTGGTGGTAGTGGGGGGGTTGGGGAAGAACAGTTTTTTCGAACTTCATGATTACTGAAAACGACCAATGTGTTCTCGCAGCACGCAGAGCGCTGGATTCGCCTTCATGATCTTTGCCATCGCCTGTGAGAAGGAGGGGAAGGTGGGGACGATGGGGGTGGGCGATGGAGGACAACGCAATGAGGTGGTGACGGCAGAGACGTGGTGAGGTGGTGCAGCAGGTATCTGCGCGGACGTGAGGTCATGCGGAGATGACCAACAAACAGCAAAGGAAGGGGTAGCGGGGGAGGAAACCAGAAAACGAATTGGCAGAGGGAAGCAAAAGAGTCTAAAAAGGCAAGAGACCAAGGCACATCCCCACCCAAAATCCCAGCCTCAGCCCCTCTCTCTTTCTCAAACACACTCTGTCCCAACCCCCTTCTGTCCCTTCAACCTCCTCTCCGCCCATCCCTCCCTTGCTCTCTCACTCTCTCACCTTCCACCCTTGCAAGCCCTCACCTGTGCCAGCAGCGGCTTCATGCCGGGAATCCAGTTGCCATAGATCGACCACAGATTGTACGCGAGGTCGATCCCGATCATCACCCCGGCCGGCGACGGGTACAGGCTCATGTTATCCGTCGTGTAATCCAGGAACTTGGCTCTGGTGTACCGCTCGATGTCGTGCAATCAAAGGCCCTCTCTCACTCACATTCCCCCTTTCCCTTGCAACTGCTCACCTGCGCGAGAAGAGGCTTCATGCCAGGAATCCAGTTGCCATAGATGGACCACAGGTTGTACGCCAAATCGATCCCGATCATCACCCCAGCAGGCGACGGGTACAGGCTCATGTTATCCGTCGTGTAGTCCAGGAACTTGGCTCTCGTGTACCGCTCGATGTCATGCGAGTCGTAGTCGCCCCACCGCAGCTGCACGTCGATCCAGAACTTGTCGGTGGCCTTCTGGTCAAAGGCGTCCTTGGAGTCGGCGACAAGGGAGGGCTTGGACACGGGCCACTTGTACGCCGCGAAGAGCAGCACGTCGGCACACGAGGAGTTCATCTTGTACGACTTGCGCGGGTGGATGGTCTCCTTCTGCACCGTCTCGATCTCCAGTGCGTCCAGCTCCTGGTCCAGCACCTGCGAAAGGGGCGGATGAGAGAACCAGAACGGGATGGGGAAGGTGAAGAGGAGTTCATCTTGTACGACTTGCGCGGGTGGATGGTCTCCTTCTGCACCGTCTCAATCTCCAGAGCGTCCCGCTCTTGGTCTAGCACCTGGGGTAGGGGACAGAACCAATAAGCGGTGTGGGAGGATTGGGGCGAGGAGGAGCGGTGGGGACAGGGGAGGTGAGGAGGAGTTCATCTTGTACGAATTGCGTGGATGGATGGATGGTCTCCTTCTGGGCTGTCTCGATTTCCAGTGCATAAAATTCCAGATCCAACACCTGGGGTGGATGAGACAGGCAAATGAGGGGGAACATGCATTTGACAAACGTGGAAAGTCAGATCAAGCAACACTCTCTTGGAACGTGCTGAAATTACAATCAAACCCAGGAATGGACGTCCCTTCCCCCTCCAAGGCGCACCTGTCAGGCGTCTGCTAGGTGAGCCTCACCTTCCAAGCCTCACCTGCCCCCCCGCCAAGCCTCACCTGCCCCCCCGCCAAGCCTCACCTGCTCCCCCCCTAAGCCTCACCTTCCCCATCCCCCCCCCTCAGGTCACTTGCTAATCCACCCCCCCCCCAGCCTCACCTGGCAGATGTCCATGACGACGCTCTCGTGCACCTTCTGCCACAGATGCCCATGCAGCCCACCACACACATAACCGAAACAACCCACCACCCTAACCTGCCCACCTTCCCCCTCCCAATTCCAGCCTCACCTGGCAGATGTCCATGACGACGCTCTCGTGCACCTTCTGCCACAGATGCGCGCGGAAGATCTGAATGAGCGAGATCTTGAGCGTAGGTATTTTCCCGTGCATGAAAATCCCCGTCAGGTCCAGCTGCACCTGGAACCCCACATACACGTTCGCCCGGTTGATGGTCGGCGACCACCACAGCGCAAACCGCCTGTTCGGGATCTGGTTCAGCCCGGACCGCTGCGCGTTCGTCAGCTTCTTGTACTTCATCGACTCCTC